GGGAGGGGGCGGGGCCAGTCACTGGCGCGTGGCCGCGATTGATAGAACAGTCGCTCCCGCCTGGCCCAAACTCACTCAAGATAGGCTTGGGTCGGGCAGGTCCCCCCACAGGGGGAAGATGCAAACATTGACGAACAAATGAGATGGGGACGAGTTTTCAGTTCTTTGTGAATATTGCTTTCCATATGTTTGGGGTATTTTCAACGTTTCCTCCAACATCCGCCTGCAGGGGGACGCGCCTGACCTGAGGCATAGGCCCCCGGGGCCCCTCGCGCGACGCCCGGCCTGGCCCGCGGCCCGACGGAGAGACCCCGCCGCGGCGACGACGGGCCTCCGAGAGGCCCCTTTGTTTGGCCGCGCACGGAGACCGCCGGGAGAGGCCGCCGCTGCAGGGGGTCGGGAGCCTTGGGGCCCAGGCCCCCTCGAGGTATGGAAAAATCACGACGGGAGGCTCTTCATTAGTTTTTGGCCTCTGGGGGCCCGCACCGGCCCTCGGGGCCGTCAGAAAACGACTCGGGGCGAAAAACCGGTCCCGGGGAATGGGTCCAGACAGCTGGGGGTCGACGTCATGAAGAATTCTTGACTTCGGGGGTCTGGGGAGACAGGGGTCAATGCAAACGGGGGTCAGACAGGGCACCGGATCCTGCAGGATCCTGCGGGGCCAGGGTCGCATTGACCTTTGTCTTGGGCGCAGGATCCTGCAGGATTTTGCATGATCCTCCGCATTGACCTGGGTTTGGGTGCAGGATCTTGCGAAGACCCCTTTTGGCTGACCTGGGTTAGCGAGCCGCTCGTGGCCACGAGGCGGCCGCGTTTGTGAAGCCCTGCGTTGCAGTGGTTGCTTCTTGCGTTGCAGTTTTTCGGTTTCTTGCTGACCCGGGTCTGGTTGACCCGGGTCAGAAGATCCATGAAGGGAGGGACCTTGGCCGACTCTCTCCCTCCGCCCTCCTCCATCGTTCCGCTCGGGCGATCGTAGATATTAAAATCTTTCTGATATTGTATTGCTGTATAGGTTCGTGTCGTGTGGATCGGCGGCGGCCCCGCCGCCGGCGTTCGACGTGGAACGTCGCGGGCGACCCAGAATCGTTCGATGTGGATGGATTTTGACTTTTCGGAGACGGCCGATCGTTCAAGGTTGAACGATCCCCGCGGTGTCAGAAACCAACGCCGAAGCCGGCACGACACGAACCTGCCGTACATGCGCGACTCTGGTTTGGCCTTGCGTGCAGATTCACATCGAGAAGGTGCACGGCTTCACTCAATGCAGCATCTGTTAGTTACAGGCGGCCCGGATTAGTAGGTCGACCCTGCCAGATCAAGGGTACCTTTGTGTCCTGTGTCTTGCGACCCATGCTTCGTACATTCCAGTGGCGATGTGGCCCTCGAAGGGTCTTGTGTCCTCGCGCGTGTCCTCTCCAATCAAGCCCGACTGTATCCAGGGCCGCCAACCAGCTCAGGCCTCGAAAAGGTCAGCTGCCGGTGCGATCCTGGCGCGACTCGATCCGCTCTGACCCGCCCGCGCGATCGGGTTCGCGATCCGATGCGGCCAGATCGGCACTCGAGCGTGTCCCCGACGGGCCCGCCTCCGACCCTGCTCTGCGGGACGGGACAATGACCACAGCTGCCGCTGCTTGTCTGCGCCGCCTTCCAGCCCGCCGAAGAAGAAGCAGTGGCCGTGGTCGTCTCCCTGGTGCCAAGGCTTGATGCAGATGACCACAGCCACTGCTCCGTTTCTGCTGGCTGGAGGGCGGCAACAAAAGGAAAGCAGTGGCTGCGGTCGTCTTCACGCCCCGCACGGGGCCGTGGCTGCGAGTCGCAGGCCGGGGCCGCGGCTCCGCTCCGAGGCGATTCGGCCCGACTCGCCGGCATCGGTCGGGGCGGGCCGGTTCGATGCGCTGCGGATCCGATCCCAGACTTGCGACGTCCTGATTTTTGTCAGGCAAGTTTACTTGCATGGCGTTTCTGCCCCCCCCCCCCCCCCCCCCTCCCCTCCCCCCCGCCCCCCCCCCTCTTCAAGGCGAACACTAGCGTGCAGTGCCTTTCGACTTTGCGTGATTTTCCGCGCCCCCCCCCCCGGCTTGCTTCAGGCTCAGCCCCCCCCCCCCCGTCCATGCAAGCAAACTTGCCAGAGTCTAAAAAACCACAGGCTCCAGGGCGGCGTCCCCGGAAGTCCGGACCCTTTCCCCGGGCCATCCCGGGTCGTTGTCTGACGGTCTCGGGGCCCAGCGAGGGCCCCCACAGGCCGAAAGTGGTGAAAAATAATTGCCGTCCTGGTTTTTCTTCGACGACGCCGTCGTGCCCGGGGTCCGACCTCGCGGCGCGGTCCAGCTCGGGCCCGCTGCTGCCCCCGCGGGCCCTCGTCCGCTGCGTCACCGTGTGCACGGGGTCGTGGCTGCTGGGCGCGGCGGGGGCGCTGGACGGGAGGAGGGCGACCTCGAACAAGAGCGCGCTGGCCGCGGGGCGGCCACAGGCCGCTGCGCCCGCGGTGCAGTGGGTGCTGAGGGCGAGGCGGCCGGCATCGGCGAAGCGGGCGAGTCCTGTCTGGAAGCTCCTCCTGGCATGCACCGCCGCGGTCTCGGGAGCCGTGGGTGGCGTTCCGTGGCCTCCTCGGCTACCTTCGGTGGCCTGTCAGCGGCCCTCCGTTGCCTCGAGAGGGGCCTTTTTCAGCGGCATCTGGCGGCCTCTGCAAGGATGTGGAAAAGGGTGTTCTGCATATTGGAGAGAGCTTCCAAACATGTTCACTTAATTTTAACCCATGACCTACAGCCCAGACGCTGAAATAAGGACCGCTTTGGGTTCGGGAGGGTGCTGTTCCTGAGCCCCTTCTGTGGCTGCCCCTCTGACCCCCTAGTTTCCCCAGGCGCTGTGGGGGCCAAGAAGGGGCTTCGTTCCTTCTCTTGCGTTCCTTATTTCGGCAACCCTTCTGCAATTATCCCCATCCCCACCAGGTCATTGTGTCTGAGCCCCACCATCAGACCACCTCAGTTGGGGATAGGCCCCTGGAAGCTCGAAGGGAACAGCCTGGATCCCCATCTGGGGGGGTAGATGGACCAGTGGGGCCCAGGCCACGCCAGTGGGGGCAGGGGGTCGGTTACGTAAACGGTGCCCAGGTGGGTGGAGCACATCGAGCGCGAAGCGTCGGCGCGCGTCCAGTGAGGGCGGCCAGGGCGCTGGGGGCGGCGCTCCGGGGGAGCACGGTACCCCCCCCCGTGGGTGCCTCGTGTCGCAGTTTTTCACAGCAGGCGACGTTGCCTCTCTGCGGGCCCCGGTTGGGGACCCTCACGCATCGATCCGGCTGGAAAGAACATGCAGCAGAAAGATGGGGCCCAGGGCGCTCCATTTGTTTTTGTTGGGGGGTCTCAGGGCGTTGCAACTTTGTCGCAACGTCAGATCGCGTGGCCCCTGGCCTTGCCAGGTCGACTGGCGGATCGTAACCGTCTGTCGGTTCTCGGGGGGGGGGGCGGGGCACGGCCGCAGCTTGTGCTGGCCTGCGCCTGCCGGTTGGGCCTGGTCCCGGGGCGTTTTCATCAAATTGCGTTTTGCGGCAGAGGGTTTTTTTTTGCGCCCTCCGCCAAGAGAGAAGGCTCTCTTGGGAGCCTGTGGGCCCTCTCTCTGGAAGATCCGTCGGCGCCCAGCGGGGGGGAAAGGCAGCGGGGCGGGCCTTTTCAAAGAAGACTCCGAAGGCCGGACGGAACCCTCTCCGAAGCCACCAGCGGCTTCTGGGAGGGCCAGGAGGAAGGAGGAGGAGGAGGAGGAGGAGGAGGAGGAGGAGAAAGAGGAGGAGGATGAAGGAGGAGGGGGAGAGGGAGAGAGGGGGGGAGGGAGAACAAGAAGGAGAGGAGGATGAAGAAGAAGAGAGCAGGAGGAGAACAAGAAGAGAGAAGTAGGTAAGAAGTTAAGGAGGGAGGAGAGGAAGAGGAGGAGGGGGAGGGGGAGGAGGAGGAGGAGGGGAGGAGAGAGGAGGGGGGGGAGGAGGAGAGGAGGGGGAGGAGAAGGTGGCCCCCGCATGCTTCCCTGCTCGCGCGCCGCCAGAAGAGCCCGTGCCCCCTGCCCTGTGAGCCTGGTGCACCCCCCTGTGTCCCGCCCTCCCCTCCCTCCTCCTCCTCCTCCTCCTCTCCTCCTTCTTGTTCTCCCTCCTCCGCCTCCTCCCCCTCCTCCCCCTCCTCCTCATCCTCCTCCTCTTTCTCCTCCTCTCCTCCTCTTCCTCCTCCTCCTCCTCCTCCTCCTCCTCCTCCTCCTCCTCCTCCTCCTCCTCCTCCTCCTCCTCCCCCTCCTCCCCCTCCTCCCCCTCCTCCTCCTCGTGGGCATGGCGCCCCCCTTCGTCCCGCGCCCTCGCTGGCGCGCCGGCGGGAGAGGGCGGCACAGGGGAGAAGCTCTTCCTCACCTCGAGCGGCGTGTCCGCCGGGGGCGACGCGGCGCTCGCTCTGATCGCCTACGTCTCCGGGAGCGAGGCCCACGCAGAGGCCATCGCGAGGGCCGCCGAGTGGACGTGGCACAGGGACCCGGCGAACGACCCGTTTGCGCTCGGCGAGTAGTCGTGTTCTCTGTGGCATGCGCGCGCGCTGCGGGGCTGTGGGAGAGGCAGGGGTGCTCACGGCGAGCATCGGTGTTTCACCTCCTCGGCTTCCTCGCTCTCGTGCTGCAGCTCCCTCTGCCAGTTCCTCCCGCCCTGCCGCTCCCCTGCCCTTCAATCTTCCCCAGTCGATCCTCCGCGCCGTGCCAACAGCGCATGGCGATTCCGCAACCACAGTGTGCGCGAATGCAGGCGGTCGTTGCCCAGGGTGCTGTCAGGCGCCCGCTGCTGGCACCAGCCCGAGGCACGCCCGCACGTACCAGGAGTATCCTGCTACCTCCTCCCCCTCCCTCTCGCTGTCTCCCTCCACGCCCCCCATGTGTGATTGTTCTCTCGCTTTATCTCGAGGGATACGAACAATGACATATACATAACAACTCGGAGGTCCGCGCGGACTTTTCGGATCGGCGCTGGACCCCCCTCCCTGGCGCGCGGAGCGCGCCAGGGGCGGCGCCGGAGGCGCCGCCACGGGGCCCCAGCGCGGATCCGAGAAATCCGCGCGGACCTCCGAGTTTGTATGTTTTTTATGTCATCGATTATTATTATGTATGTGTTTTGTTTCTTTCTCTCTCTCTCTCTCTCTCTTCAGCGAGGGGTACCCTCCTCTCCCCTCCCTCCTCCCTCCACGCCCCTCATGTTTGATTGTTATCCCTCTCTCTTTCTCTTGCTATGTTTCCCCCTCCAACTTCTCTCTCGCTATAGAGGACGGGAGTGACTTGATATATATATATATATATATACATATATATAAATATATATCGAGTTATACAGATAACTGTATATATATGTATGTATGTATATATGTATAGATGTCTATATGTGTGTACACACGAACGTGACGCCAAAACGCGTCCCTGGGCGGTGCAACACGCCGGCGGCGTCGAGGATTCCTACACCAGGTCTCGCATCGCGGCCCCCTTAAGAGCAGGACGAGAGACTCTGTCTCTCTTCCTATCCATCCATATTTCTCTCTCTCTCTCTATCTCTCTCGATCCCCCTTTCTCTCTCTATGTATATTTCTATATGTAGATTGACATGTTTCTTTTCCCCTGTCTTAGTATTCCTTTATCTATATATATATATAGACATAGTAGGTCTATAGTCATGTCTGTCTCTCTTCCTGTATCTCCATTTCCATTTTCGCTCTCCTCTCCCTGTCCCCCGTCCAGCCCCGTTCTCCCCTCCTGCCTCCCCCAGCCACTCCTGTCTCGTCCTCGACCTCCCTCTCTTCGGTGGGTGGACTAAAAGTGTCCACACGTGTCTCGCCAAGACCTTGGGTTATTCAAGTACGTCGGACAAACGTGTATACCCCCCTTCCCCTGAATTCAAAGTTGCCGGGTTTAGGCGGTAGGCCAAAGGCCACGGATAAAATGTGGGCATTTCAGCTTTGGGTTTTGGGGGGAGGGGTGCGAAGCAAGGGCATGTCGCAGTTGTGGTTGTTATCTTGTTGCATTGCCTTCCCGCCATGGGTGTGGACACTTTGTGCCCGGGCACCGTTCCTCCCGCTCCTCCACGTACGCAGTCCGTGTGGGGTCATACGGCGGAGTCTTATTTGGGCTCCTCCACGTACTCCGTGTGGGCTCCTCCACATACGTAGCCCGCGTGGGCGCAGCATTCTGAATTTCACACTGCCTCATTGAGCCCTCAGCTACCGCACGGAAGGGCTCGCGCGGTGGTCGCTGCCAGGCGGCCGGAGCGCAGCTCGCAGCATTGTTCGACGTGGCGCATGGGCCGTCACTCTGTTAGGCCCTTCGGCGGCTCAGCGACGCCGAGCAGGAGGAGCTGCCAGTATGGCGGTTGCATTGTGCGTGCAGCGTACGGCTTGCGGTGTTGGAGGGGGGCGCTTGCTGGACGGGCAACTGGCGAACAGTAGTCGTGCCCTTGGCTTCCAAGTCTCAGTCGGCGGCGAGCGAGGGGGGGAAATGAGAAGGAGAGGCCTTCTCAGAAGGCGACGGGGCTTCTCAGAAGGCCTCGCGCCTTCTGAGAAGTTGTCTGTGTCTTCGGGGAAGGCGTCGATAATTTCTCAGAAGGCCAGAGGACTTCCGAGCCTCATGAGAATGCATTGTCCTTCTCACTTCCACCCCCCAGGCTCGCTGCCGACTCAGCGATTGAGGGCATCGCCCAGTCAATCTGCAAGAGGTCGGGCGGCGACATGGTGATGGCCCAGCCGCTGAAATCGGAACAAGTTCACCGTCGACACCGTGCCGCTTGCTCGGAATCCGCTGCGAGCGAGGCGTCCTCCTACACCCAACACCTGCTGCTGCTGCTGGCCCGGGAGCGATCAACGTGCGCGGACATCGAGCGGACATGTTGCTCACGCGCAGCGCAATGCTGCGGGCGACTCCCACCTCTTCCTTGGGGCCTGGTTCGATCCCAAGTGGTTGGATTGCAAAAACAACCCCCCCCCAAAAAAAAAACCGAAGGCTTGCAAAAACAAAAAACAAAAACACAAAAAAACAAAACAACGACGTCACTTGGCGCGGGACGCGGTCCCTGGGTTGCCGACAGGGCCTCGGGCGGCCGGCACCGGGAGCAACTACAAAAAGCGTGGGGGGGGGAGCGAGGCCTGCAGGACAGCGATGGCCCGAGAGACCCATGAGAGGTGCACGCCTCTTCGCCCCACGCTTCCTGCCCCCGCCCCTAGCAGCAGGAGGGGGAAAACACACACAGACACACTTGATCGTCGATTCCCAGGAAAATATGGGAAAACATGCGAGGTGGGGGGGAAGACAAAAGCCCAGAACATATGGGAAAACATGGGGAATCTCGTTATTTGTGTATATATATTATATATATAAATATATATATATATATATATATATAGGACAGCCCCCCACCAGCACCCATTCTTCGTTTTTTTCTTTCCACGTTGTCTTTCGCATCCCTTCCATATATATATATATATATATGTGTGTGTGTGTGTGTGTGTGTGTCCTTGGGCCCCTTGATCGAATTAAGCCGGGCACGTCCCTCTACAGAGGGGAAATTCAAAAATCATCCAAACAAAAAAAGATGGGGATTCTTTGTTTGGGGTCATCGTTGACGATGTTTGGAGTATGTCCTGCGTATCTTTGGAGTCTGTCCTGCGTATGTCCTGCATCTGCCCTGCAGGGGGACAGGCCCGACCTAACTTTCGTACCAGACACCCGACCAGTCGGCAACAAAAAACATCTCGGGCGGCCGACGCTGGCGTGAGAAGCCTCGGCCAGCGAGCGGCCTCGCCCGCCCAGCGCCCGCTCTCCCGCCCCCCCTCCCCGCCCACAGCGCATCCACGTGCGGGCGGAGCACTGCAAGAAGTCCCGGTGCAACGAGGCGTTCCTCCAGCGCGTCAAGGCCGACGCCCCGCGGGGGGGGCCGCCGTGCATGCCGCTTCACCCCGGCCTCAGCATCGCCATCGTCCTGCCATGGACCCCTCGATCCCCGGCCATCGATGCCCGATCCTCGAACTCGCCGGGGAGGAGGGGAAGGAGGAGGGAGGAGGAGGAGGAGGAGGAGGCCGAAAAGGATGAGGACGAAATGGAGGAGGAGGAGGAGGAGGAGGAGGAGGAGGAGGTCCTGGACCCTCGACTCCCGGCCCTCGGGTCCTCGACCCTCGTTCTCCTCGGCCTTCGACCTTCGGCCGGCGAGCCTGCGATCCTCGGCCCTCGCCCGCCCGCTCACGCTCCCCCCAGCCGGCGCCCGCGGGTGGGTCCCGCTGCTCCCGCCGCTCCGCTCTGGCTTCCCAGACCCCCCGCGGGTCATGAAGAAATCACGACGGGGGCGGAGGTTCGTCACTTTCGGCTTTTGGGGGTGGTTACCGGGTACCGGCCCTCGGGACCACCGTCAAGAGACAACCGGGCGAAAAACTCGTCGCGTGGCATGGGTCCAGATCGCTGGTGCTCCACGCCATGCGAGGTTCATGACGGCGGGGATCTGCGTTCTGAGGGGCATCTGTCGTTGGCTGTGAGGCGTCCACCCGCCGGTCCCGACCGAGCCCCAGGGGAAGGTTGGCGGCGCGCAGAGGGGGGTAGGGGGAGGGGGGAAGGCTTCTTAGAAGGAGGCTGCTTCTTAGAAGGCGCCGGCCTTACATCTACAGAGAAGGCCCGCACCTTCGAAGAAGCAGGGGTGCTTCTAAGAAGCCTTCCCCCCTCCCCCTACCCCCCTCTGCGCGCCGCCAAGAAGGGGTCGAGAAGTGTGGTGCTCTCCCTCTCCCGCTTCCCCTGCCAGGCCCCCCGGTGTCAGCGGGCGCGAGGTCTGCCTCTTGCTCCGCAGTGGCAGGCCCCGGCTTCGGCGCGCAGGGTCGTCGGCCGCCGCGCCAGTCTCGCGCCGACGTGCCGCGCCGCAGGCCGCACCACTGCGAGCTGGCGAGCAGGTCGACAAAGAGGATATATATATATATATATATATATATAGCGCAATGAATGCTTTGATAATTACGCGGGGTCGTCGGCCGCAGCACCCCGCCGCGCCGCGGACGCCATCCTTGCTGGCGCCTGGGCAAATGCTGTGGCAGTCCCCGGATCTCTGGGCCAGTCTCGTTCTGGGCCCCGCTCCCTGGAGTCCCGCTAGCAGGTAAATAAATTATGGGTCATTGGGACACTCAAAAAACGACTCGGGATGCAAAACAGGTCCCGGGGAATGGGTCGAGACTTTTGGGGGTCGTCGTCATGAACAACAATTATGACGTCGGGGGTCTGTGCCATCCGGGTAGGATTCCCCGCTCGCACAAGCGGTACGTGCTGCTCCTCCGAAGGAGGAGCATGAGAAGGAGGGGTGTGGAGGGTGGCTGGGGAGATGGGGGATGAGGGGGAGGAGGGGGAGGAAGGAGAGGGGGGAGGAGGGGAAGGGGCGCGCTGGCATCAGTGAGTTTCCCTTCGTATTCCGGAGTGCGTCCTAGAGCATTGGGCTTTGGACAAGCAACCTCGCCGAGAGGGGCGGAAGGGGAGCGGGGGGGGCCGAGGAAGTGTTTGGGAGGTTCTGCGTGACTGGTCGTGGGTGCCGGGGTTTGCCATGAGTGGGGCCCCCTTCTCCCAGAGACGAGCGGCCATTGCAAGTTACCTTCGTAGCGTCAAGCTCCTGAGGGGCGCCGTCTGATCTGGTCGCTCGAACCCGTGCGAGTCGGCTCGCGGCGTCCAGGTGAACGACCAGAAGAAGCGGGACGCCAAGATGTTGGGCAAGAGCCTCAAGCTGAAAAGGGAGCCAGAGGGCCCCAAGGAGATGAAGATCGTGAAGGAGCGCGCTCACATCGCGCGCGTGCGCCACTCCTCCTCCTCGTGCTCCCGATAACCCTTCCCGCCCCTCGTCATCATCCTCCGAGTGGTTCTTCAGGTGCACTCAGAACAGCAGCCAACACCGCAAAATTGACCCTAACTCTACCTCTCGTCCGTCCTGTCTGTCTGGTCTCCATCCTCTCCCCCTATGCCTCCTTCCCGCCCCCGACGGCACGGGTCTGCACGGTGGTGCCCTGAGGTTTCTGGATCCACTTGTTCGTTGCCATTTTGGCTCAAGCCATTGTGGCCCAAGAATTGAAGCTCAAAGTGCGAGCAGGTGCAGCAGGGCCGGCCGACCCCGCTCGTCGGGCAATCCGCGCGCGTGGCCACTTTCGGATGCGGGGCGGCCGTGGCGGCGGGCGTGGGGATAACGCCCAGCCGCCATGGGGCGCCATCCAGCGGCAACTGAAGCCGCTGGCGGAGGTGGGCAAGAAGGCGAACCGTCCTGCTGGAGAGGGCGGCGCTCACGATCGCAGGCGCGGCAGCCGGCTGGGCAGCACGGTGGCGCGGCTGGCGAGCCCCGGGGGGGCTCGCATGCAGGCCTGGAGCTGCGCATGCGGGACGGCCGGCAGCTTCGGCGGGCGAGCTGCCTGCCGTGGGTGCGGCACCGCGGGCGGAGCCTTCGACCGCGGGCGCGCACGGGCGGGGCGGCGACGGGCCCCGCCGACGCGGGCGCCTTGGGCGAGGCCCCCGCGGCCGGCGCCCGCGGAGGCAGCCGCGGCCTTAGGCTCTGCAGGCCGCCGCGGCCGATGCCCCTTCGCCGCAGCCAGCGGCCGCCGCTGCCCGAGAGGACCTTGCCGGCATTACGGCTCGCAACGCCGCTGGCCGCCCCTTCCCAGAGGTGGGCGGGGGAGGTGGCACGTCCCGAGGCCGCGGCGACCAGGCTGCAGGAGGTGGAGCGCGCCGCCCGCCGCCTCGAGCGCCGCCTGCGGTCCGCAGTCGACTCGTGCCGGAAGCACGCCGAAGCGGCACGGCGCGCCCAGGAGGCCACGGCGGCGGTTCGGACACCGCGGCCGAGGCAGCTCAGCGAGCCGCCGAGGCGGCGGACGCCCGCGCAGAGAGCAGGCCTCTCGGGACCTTGAGCCCCCCCACCCTTTCAGCTCCGACCCCGCCGCGGCCTTCAGCGCGCCAGCTCCATGGGACGGAAGCGGCCGCTTGCCCAGGCAAGGTGCACGCAGGGGCGCCTTGGGGCGCGCTCCGACCCCGGGCCCTCGCCAGGGCCGCTGGGCTGCTTCCGGGCAGCTGCGAGCCCATCGCCATCTTCTCCGAGAAGGCGGCGAGCAGTCGCCTCGGCAGAGGCGCGCCGATCGTATTACTCCGCAAGGAGTGGCGCCGCTCCGCGCCTCATCGGCCCATCGGGGCGGAGGGGCTGGACACTGGAGGGCCGCGTGGCGCTACTCCGCAAGGAGGGGCGCTGCTCCGCGCCCCATCGGCCCATCAGGGCGGATGGAGCTCTGGCGCAGAGTTGTTGCCGAGAAGCTGATCCACGCGCTCTGTGAAACCCTCCAGGCGCGGTTCCTGGCTTCGCGACGGGGTCGGCGTGCTGGCTGGCACAGAGGCGCCTGTGCACTGGCGCATTGTGCTGGAGGAGTTCTTGGAGGACGGTTGCGGCCACTTCGATGACGATCCGTTGGCCGTAATCGACGTGGACCTTTTGGAGCTGGACTTCGTAGATGCTTCGCGGACCTACTGCCGTGGCCGCGCGGGCAGTCTTATTCTCGTGGGCCGAGGCCCCGAGCAGCGCGACCCCCTTGGGCCGCTGCTGCCCGCCTTGGCTTATGCGCGGGTCGTAGCCTGCACCAGGTCACCACCAGAGCCCAGGGCAACCTGCAGTTGCCCGGCGAGCGCTTCATGGGCGATGGCCCCATCGTCGCCCGCAGCTCCAGCGCGGGCCCGTGGCGGCGGGCGCCCGGCGCCGAGGCTGCCGTGGCCAGGGCGGTGCGTGGCCGGACCGGGGCATGCCAAGTCGGTCGTCGCAGTCGGTGCGCCATGGGGGGTCGCCGCCGCGGCGCGCCCTCGCTGGCGCTGGGCCGCGGAATGCGCCCTGGCGTCGGTGCCCCCCCCCCGGGTCGGAGAGCCGGCCCGCCGCGTGCTCGGCGCTGATTTCCGCGGCGGCACGGTGGGCGCCCGGCCCCTCGCAGCAGCGGGCACGGCAGCAGCCGGGCACGACGCGATGGGCCTGCCCGAGGACGTCTGCCGAGCTCGCGCTGATGCGGCGCTGCGCAGACGTCTGCAAAGTGGCCCGCGCGCCCTGGGCGGCTGGTCCGGCCCTCAGCGAGGAGGCGCCGTCCCGCTACGACGGCGTGCCCCGCCGCGCAATGATGCGCCTGCTCGGCGGGCCGCTCGACGTGGCGTCGCAGCGGCCGACGGGCTTTCCGCCGACTGGCCCGCGGCAGGCCAGAATGCGGATTGCTGCCGTCTGCTGGAGCTCCAGGGCCCTCCAGCGAGCCGCGGCTGGGTCTGGGTCTCCACTCCGGCGCGAGGCCCGACGGTCGGCCCCGGGGAGTGCCTCACCGCGGTGCGCGCGCGGGCGCCGCGTCCGCGGCGCGGCGCAGGCTCGCTCGGCCGTCGGCGCCCCCGCGCTCTCCAGTGCGCCACCCCAGGAGGCCGCGGGGGCCACTGCGAGGAGTGGGACCACCTCTCTGGCGCGCTGGCGCTCCTGCCCGACCCTGGCGCCGAGCCCGCAGCCCCTGGGCTGGCGCCGTCGGCGCCCTTTTTGCTCCGCCCTCCATAGATGCCCTGGCCTGCGCGGCCCTCTCGGGTCGTCGATCCGTTCTGGACGCTGCAGCGCGCGCGGCCCGGCAGCGCAAGGGGGCTGGCGACCTCTGCTGCACGAGCGCTGGGACCACCGCCCGAGCGCTGGCGCTGCGGTCTGCGCGGCGCCGCGGGCGGCGCTGCCACTGGGGCGCCGCTGCGCAGGGCGCAGGCGGCCACCGGCGTCGCAGGCTGGCCGGGCGCCGCCGCCGTGGCCCGGGCGTGCCCGCCCGCGCTCGCGCCGGGCGGTGAGCGCCGTCTTTTCCGCGTGGCGGCGCCGGCGTAGGCTTGAGGCCGCCTCGGGCTGCTGGCGACTGGTGCGAAAAGCCCGGCAGGACCGCATCCTCAAGCCCGATGTTTTTTCTTCGACGGCCCTAGGGCCCAGCAGGAGCCCCTCAGCGGCCGCAAACTGCGAGAAGACTCCACTCGTGATCGCGCCTCGGCGCGGGGGCGTATTGAGCTCAAGGGATCAGGAATCGGCCCCCCGATCCGGCCAGGGGTGCGCTCCGATCGATCGAGCACTGGCGCGCCCGAGTGGGGCACGAAAGGAGTTGGTACGATCGCCAAGAGCAAGTGATGCCCAAACCTGACGACGGGCGCTGTTGGGCAGGTAGCTGCTTGTTCGAGGTGGCCACGTCCGCGGCGACACCGACAGCGAGCCCTCTTCAAATGGGCAGGGATTGTTGCCGGTCTTCTCGTCCCCCTTCTTTCCGCCCGACCGCGGCCGACGGAGGGCGTTCCAGGCAGAAGCCCCGAACGGGCGACGGGCGAGGCACGACCCTCGGGCCAGGGGCCCGAGAGCGCCGCCTCCGCGGCTAAAAGATGCGCCCCGTGAGGAGCGCTGCTCCGGAGATCCCCCGAGGCCCCCGCACCGCTGCAAGGGTTCGCTGGCAAGCTTGTCGAAGCGCAGGCGGTGGAACCCACAGGCGTGCAGAACTCCCACCCACACTCATTTCGGGGGTGGACAGGGCCCCCACACTGACACGTCGATTAGTGAATTGTCCGTTTTCGGTTCTCGAGAGGGCGCCGCGGCCGTCATTTTCCAGGCTTGCGCCCGCCAGGTTTGGGCCCGAGGTCGTTTTCACGACACCACGTGTTGCTAAAGGGGGGTTTGTCCATCCCCGATTATTGCGGGCGCAGCGACTTGCTCTTTGCGCCCAGGGCGAAGCTGGAGCCGAAGAGTTCCTGACTCTCTTTGTGACAACCGCCGAACTATATGATGGGATCTCGCTTTCCGCTTTTCGACGACAGGGCGGGTTAGCCGGTGGGGAGGAGGGAGGTGCGGGCCGCTAGCCCAGATGACTTCTTCGCTCTGGGCAGCCCCACGTGTGTGCGCGAGCACCAGTCCTGGGTACTCAATCCAGACCTGCACAGCCGACGAGGTCAGGCTATCCGAAGGGGGGGGCCGGGCGGGCCCAATAACTCAGCTGATCGCCAACCTGGTGCGCTGGCGAGGCCCAAAACTTGGCAGGCGGCGCCGTGGCGGCCGCGACAGCGAGGCTCCTGCAGGCGCGGAGGGTGCAGGTCGAGCGCTGGTGAGGCCCAGCTGTCGGCGGCGAGCGCAGTGTGGAAAGGGAGAGGCGGCGGGCCTTCTTAGAAGGCTCGGAAGGCCTCGGGCTTTCAGGGAAGCATTCTCGGCCTTCCCCGAAAGCACAGAAGCACCTGCTCGGGAAGCGCGAGGGCTTCCTGAGAGGCCCGCGCCCTCCCACTTTCCTCCCGATGTCGCAGCCAGCGACAACGATGACGACAACGACGACGACGACGACGACGACGAACGACGACGAACGACGACGCAATCGAACGACGACGACGACGAACGACGGCGTCGGTGATGACAACGAAGACGACGACGACGACGACGACGACGACGACGACGACGACGACGACGACGACGACGACGACGACGACGACGACGACGACGACGAACGACGCCGGCGGCGCCCTCCTCCCCCCCCCTGGCAGGCCAAGCCCGAGGACGTCGTGGTGCTCGCACCGGTCCGGGGCCCCGTGGGCGCGCGCGGGCTCGCGCGAGGTCGTCGTCGTCGTCGCCGTCATCGTCATCGTCATCGTCGTCGTCGTCGTAGTCATCGTCGTCGTCGTCGTCGCCGCTGCCGGTCGACGTCGGCCGCCGCGTCGTCGTCGTCGTCGTCGACGGCGTCGTCGGTCGTCGGTCGTCGTCGTCGTCGGCGTCCTTCGTCGTCGTCGTCGACGTCGTCGCCGCTGCCGGTCGACGTCGGCCGCCGCGTCGTCGTCGTCGAAGACGGCGTCGTTCGTCGTCGTCGTCGGCGTCGTTCGTCGTCGTCGTCGGTGTCGTGCGTCGTTCGTCGTCGTCGTTGTCGTCGTCGCGTCGTCGTCGTCGTCGTTCGTCATTGGCGTTGTTCATCGGCGTTGTTCGTCGTCGTCGTCGTTGTCGTCAGTCGTCGTTGTCGTCGTCGTCGTCGTCGTCCTGTTGTTGTTCGTCATCGTCGGTTCTATTGCCGAGGCTGGAAGATCGAGGCTCTGGACGCCTTGAGGGCCCTCCCGGGCGGGGCCAGGACAGGGATCACATCGTTTCAGAGCGCCCCGGAGCGCGCTGCGAAGGCCGTGGCGCCCGATGCATCCTGCAGAGCCGCCGGAAGGCGGAAGGCCTGCGGAAGTCGGATGCGGGCGGCTCCGCCAGCAGCAGCCCGCTGAAGCAAAGCATAAACCTCCAAGAGGTGCCAACATCTGTGGATTCGGTTTGCGGGGACGGGCCCTGACGTCCATGGCCTCCCGGTGTTCACTCCATGACATGGTTGGCCGTTGCGCCCCGTCGCCTTTCGGTGGAGCACTGTACCCTCTCGGATGTCCTCTCGTGCGCTCTCAGGCTGCCGCTCGTGCTCTCGGATGTCCTCTCGTGCGCTCTCGTGCCACGCACCCAGGGACAGTGAGCGACCCAGGGCCCAACGATCATTCGCTGTCCCTGGGTGCGTGGCTGAAGTGGGGAAGGGGAATTCCGCGATGCGGATTCTTGTTGTTGTTGTTGCTGCTGCTGCTGTTGTTATTGGTGTTGGTGTTGGTTTTGTTGTTGTTCCTGCTGCTGCTGCTGTTGTTGTTGTGCTTCGTCCTCCCCGCGACCCACCTGCGACCCACCCGCGACCCACCCCGCGACCCGCCCGCGACCCACCCGCGGCCCACCCGCGACCTACCCCGCGACCCACCCGCGACCCACCCGCGAAACACCCAGCGACACGCCCGCGACCCACCCGCGACCCTCCTGCGACCCACCCGCGACCCACCAGCGACCCACCCTCGACCCGGCCCGCGACCCTGCCTGCGACCCACCCGCGACCCACCCCGCGACCCACCCCGCGACCCACTCGCGACCCACCGGCGACCTACCCCGTGACCCGCCCGACCACCGACCACCCGCGACCCACCCGCGACCCACCCGCGACCAGGCCCACGACCCACCCGCGACCAACCCGCGACCCACCGCGCGATCCATTTGCGACCCACCCCGCGACCCACCCACTTTCGTTTATCGAAAAGTCGACGCCTGCGGCGAGCTCGTGGTATAACGTGTAAGAATTAAGCGCCTGCTGCGGGCTTCTTCAGAGCCTCGCAGACTGCCGACGTCCCCGCCTCCCCCTCACTCTTATCCGCGACTGCGGGGTCAAACGTAGAAGGCCACCCTTCAGGTGATAAGGAGGTTGGTGGGGGGAAAAGAATCATCCAACTGACGACAACTGCGATGGCGGTGTTGATGACGATACTGGTGATGCGCCCTCGAGTTGGCGACGACGCGTGGTGAAGATGCTGCGACCCGATGTGGCCCCACTATCGATCCCATTCGATCGACCTCACCATCGAGACACCCCCATGGCACAATGCTGCCAAATACATGCCGCCGCTACTGTGTTGTGATGGTTGGTGCTAAGTGTGATGACTGGGTGCTGATGGCAAGGTGATGATCGCAGTGGTGATGAGTGCGGTGGCGACAGCAACGGCGGTGGTGCTGAGTAACATCGGAACACTATCGAAACACTATCGGGCCAAATAAAAGAAATCACCATTGCGCTGTAATGGCAATGTGACGATCGATTTCGCCATCGCTCGCACTCGATTGATCTCAACTTTGATTTCACTATCGATCTCACCATCGGTTTTACTATCGATTTCACTCGCTCGATCGCACTATCGATCTCAGTATCGGCCTCAACATCGATCTCACTATCGATCTCACCACGGGACGCCGACGGGACATTGACGGGACACCAACGGGACACCGACGGGACACCGACGGGTCATTGACGGGGCAAACTCGGGACACCAATCGATCTCATGTTCGATCTCTCCCTATCGATCTCATTCGCTTTATCTCACTATCGATCCCACTCGGTCGATCTCACTATCAATCTCACGATCGTTTTCACTATCGGTCTCCCTATCGGTCTCACCATCGCTCCCACTATCGGTCTCACCATCGCTCCCACTATCGATCTCAGCATCGATCGCACCACGGGACACCACAGGTCACCGACTGGACGCCGACGGGACACCGACGGGCACGTTGACGGGACACCGACGGGACACCATCGGGACACCATTGGAGAACCCTTCGATCTCACTTTCGATCTCATTATCGATCTCATTATCGCTCTCACTATCGGTTTCATTATCGATGTTACTATCGATCTCATTATCGGCCTCATCGATCTCACTATCGATCGCACCACAGGACACCGACGGGACACCGACGGGACACCAATGGGACACCGCCGGGACACCGACGGGACACCGACGGGTCACCAACGGGACACCAACGGGACACCGACGGGACGCCGACGGGACAGCGACGGGACAGCGGCGGGACAGCCACTGAACACCAACGGGACACCGACAGGACACCACGGCGGGACAACCTGGCCACCGCCCGCCCATCGCGGTGGGGAGGCGACGAGAC